TATATATATATATATATATATATATATATTATTAAATAATTTATTTTGCTGGTCATGCCTCAAAAACAATAAGCAGCTAGCCCATTTCTTAAATAGTTGGGGCCTTTTTATATTTTTCTTAAACATGCCCAGTACCCCATTTCCATGAAACTCAAGTTGGCTCATTTTCTCAAATAAACAAAACTGGCCCATGTTTAAATAAAAGTTGGTCAGTCTTTTTGCATTTTAACTTAGCCATCAATTTTTAATAATCTGTTTTTCTTTTAAATAACTTAATCATACTTAATTATTTTTAAACGCTAGGAAACTAGTAGGCGTGCTTTGACAATTTAATATTATTCAAATAAATTTATTTATTTATTTTTGTAATAAATCAAAGTGGACATAAGAGAAGCATAAAAATCAAATAAATCACAGTTCATCCAAGATTAATTCAAGCTAAGTTTAAGTCAATAAAGAGACCGTGCTAGAACCATGAAATTCGGGGAATGCCTCACACCTTCTCCCCAGTCAACAGAATTTCTTACCGGACTTTGTTTTTTTCGCAGACCAACATGAAAAGAGTCAAATCTTCCTTTGAATGGGGATTCAAATAAAAAAGGTGACTTGGAACGCTCAAAAATCAATTTCAAGTGGCGACTCTGTAAATAAAATAGTCCCTATTCAAGTTTGTCACTTTAATTGGTAAAACTCTTTAACTCACAATCCATATAATAATAAATATCTTCTTTTGGGGGTAAAAAGGGATGTGACAGCTCTGGCGATTCTACTGTGGAATCAAGAATTCGAGCTTGTACATTGACTTTATTTGTCTTCATTATTTTTTTGTATATAACTGTGATCTATTTGGGCCTAATGTGCTACTTGCCTACTCTTTACCGCTTTGATATTGTTGAACTGTATTATAAATTGTCTTCTTGCGCACCCCCTCTGAGTCTACTGAATACAACCTCAGGAATCGCGGATAAGCGCCCCATTATTTGTTGAGATAAAGCCGGTGGGCCTGGGTTCCTAGTGAAGGATTATTAGTCACCCATATTTAAGAAGGGGGAGAAGTCCAGTAGTTAAGCCGGAAAAGTATTGCTCTCGGTATGCTACCCCTTCCCAACTCGAGTTGTTCGCTCGTTTTATGGCTAGTCTAGATACACTTCATCCCCTAGGATTTTAAAAAACCTAGAAGAACAAGCCACATGCCTGGTAATCCCTAGTAGGATCGTTTTGTTATTTCATATCACGACTCAAAATCCACTAAGGGTCGTGATGGTGCCGGACACTGCTGTCAGGCAAGCCAACCATACATACTTAATTAAATTCTCATTTTAATAAGTTTGGAAACTATAATTTTTCCTTCAATTTTACTAGTAAAAGATAATCCTTTCAAATCAAAGAAAAAAATATTTAGAAGTTAATACAAAATACCCCATAATCATCCCAGGACCTAGTGTCACACGTACATGAGCATTTTGTCACGACCCAAACCCCGCTTCGATCGTGATGGCGCCTCTCGTGAAGACAAGGCCAGCCAACAAACTCATATCGCCTTTTCAAAAATAGTTAAACATTAATAAATAGTTTAAATATGATTTAATGATATAATTAACGGAAGCACAACCCAACACAGCCCTAACCGGGGTGTCACAAGTCACGAGCATCTACTAGGGTATAAATACAACTAAAATCCTAGAGTGTACAAATACAGACTAATGAAATGAGGAGAGAGAAAAGCAATGCTGCGAACGCCGACAACTACCTTGCTAAACCCTGATGACTCTGCCTTCGATCAGCCAAAACATACCTGAATCTCCACACAAGGTGTAAGGAGTAATGTGAGTACTCCGACTCAGTGAGTAATAATAATAAATAAAGACTGAAGGCAAGAAATCACGCAAAAACACAAGGTATTCCATACTGAAGCAGTAAAATCACTTTAAACAGTAAAGCAGTGAGAAATCAAGTGAAAATCCCTTTTTTCCAACAAGTAAAGCAAGTAGTTTACAAGTGAGTAACAAAAATGATAGAAATGCAAACGGCCCCTCGGGAAAAACATGTACAACAAACCGCCCCTCGGGCATAATATCAACAGAACCAGCCCCTCAGGCTCAATATCAGAACAGTGCCAGCCCCTCGGGCTCAATCAGAACAGTAACAGCCCTTCGGGCTCAATATTAGAATAGTAACAGCCCCTCGAGCTCAATATCAGATCAGTAACAGCCCCTCGAGCTCAATATCAGATCAGTAACAGCCCCTCGGGCTACCTCACAATCACTTATATCAGCCACTCGGGCATAGTATCAATCACTTAGAACAATGGGTACTCGCGCTCACTGTGGGTGTGCAGACTCCGGAGGGGCCCCTTACTGCCCAAGCGCTATATCAAACCACATCGTGGCATCATCACTCAGCATATCCTCACATCACTCAAGCGACCACGTGGCATATAAAGTATCTTAGGCCCTTGGCCTCATATCACTCGGCCTCACATCACTCAAGCCACTGCGTGGCATATAAAGTATCTCAGGCCCTCGGCCTCATATCACTCGGCCTCACATCACTCAAGCCACCGCGTGGCATATAAAGTATCTCAAGCCCTCGGCCTCATATCACTCGGCATATCCTCACATATGTCCCTCGGCCTTACTTAGTCCGGAAATCATCATAAGCCCCTCGGGCATTTGTAAAACAGTAGTTCTCAGCCCAAAATACCATTTAGAAATATCATTTGAGTTTTCAAATCTGCATAAAAGTGGTTGAGTTTGTAAAACAATAATTATCAACAGGACTAAGTTTAAATATAAGTCAAAACAGTGAGAAAATAGTGATAAAAATTCCCAAAGGATTCAAATAATTGGCACGAAGCCNAATATCATTTGAGTTTTCAAATCTGCATAAAAGTGGTTGAGTTTGTAAAACAATAATTATAAACAGGACTGAATTTAAATATAAGTCAAAACAATGAGGAAATAGTGATAAAAATTCCCGAACAATTCAAATAATTGGCACGAAGCCCAAGTATGACAATTAGCCCAAATCATGATGATAACAAATAAGTTTCAATCAAATATGCGTAAAAGCATCAATCGGGATGGACCAAGTCACAATCCCCAGTAGTAAAAGACCCCGCGCTCATCATCCAGCGCGTGTCTCACCTCAATATAGCATTATGATGTGCAAATCCGGGGTTTCAAACCCTGAGGACATCATTTACAATCATTACTCACCTCGAACCGGCTAATCCTCTAGCTCGTGATGCCTTTGTGTCTCAAATAGACCTCTAAATGCGTCGAATCTAGCCACAATAATTCGATTCAGTTAATAAAAATTATAGGAATTAATTCCATATGAAATTCTACATTTTCCATTAAAAATCCGAAATTGCACTCAAAATTCGCCCGTGGGGCCCACATCTTGGAATATGACAAAAGTCACGGAATATGAACCCCCATCCAACCACGAGTCCAACCAAAAATTTTTTACCAAAATCCGACATCGAATTGGCTTTCAAATCTTTAAAATTCATCTTTATGGAATTTTAGAAAATTCTTCCATTTCTCTTCAAATATTAATAATCTAACGCCAAAAATGAAGATTTATTAATGAAATATAATCAAAAGGGATTCAAGAACACTTACCCCAATAATTCCCGTGATTTCTCGCTCAAAATTGCCCAAAACCCGAGCTTGGCAGTCAAAAAAATGACCAAAAACCGGACTGCTGGACTTAAAATTGTCCAGGATTTCGGGGGTACTCTTCATATGTTTTTACTGTTCACGCATACTGTTCACATGTATTGTACATGGGTACTGTTCACGCAGGTGCGGTCACTATTCACACATGCGAAAAATGCAGAAACTGCCCAGAAAATTGCAGCAGCTTTTCTTTTCACTAAAAAGGCTCTAACTCCATCATACGAACTCGGAATTCGATGATTCTTGTTCCTGTGAGTCACAAATAATAATACAAACATAGCCCTTCAGTCGAAACTCAATTTGGAGCTCATTTGCTCAGTTCAATACCCATTTCGCTCGTTAAACAATTAACTCATGTTTCGTGTCCAAAACCCAATCACGACTTGATGAAATTAGACCAAACTTTCCAGATCAGTCCTATAATTCATTATCAAAATTCCGGAAGTCTCGAAATCAAATTTCGATCTCTANGTCAAACAATTAACTATCAAATACGCATTAAAATATTCGTTCGAGATGGACTAGGTCACAATCCCCAGCGGTGCTCTACCCCACGCTCGTCATCCAGTATGCAAGTCACCTCAAAGTAACACAACGACGTATAATACGGGGTTTCAAACCCTCAGGACAGTATTTACAATCATTACTCACCTCGAACCGGCTAATCCTCTAGCTCGCAATGCCTTTGTCTCTCAATCGACCTCCGAATGCCTCAAATCTAGCCACAATAATTCGATTCAGTTAATAAAAATTATAGGAATTAATTCCATATGAAATTCTACATTTTCCATTAAAAATCCGAAATTGCACTCAAAATTCGCCCGTGGGGCCCACATCTCGGAACCTGACAAGAATTAAGGAATATGAAACCTCATACAACCACGAGTCCAACCATACCAATTTTACTAAAATACAACATCAACTCGACCCTCAAATCTTCAAATTAAACCAAGAGGGTTTTCAAGATTTTCCCAACTAAAATCACCTATTAAATGCCAAAACTAGTAATAGATTCGGGTAATCTAACCAAAGTTATGTTAAGAACACTTACCCCGTTGTTTTCTCTGAA